CGCAGATGATCTGAACACTTGCAGTACTCAAACATGGAAATCAAATGTGTGCAAAGCTACAGGATTAAAACACGAATTTAACTTAACAGCTCATTTAAAAAAAACACAGACACCACCAAACCGAGCCAGCAAAATAACCGAACTAACATTAACAGTGCTATGAATCCTGCTAGTACTGTGATATTCAGGTTTGAAAACCAGGCAGCATTCAAAGATTGTCTACATTTCAGCATATTTTGTTTTTGGATATGTTACTGACTTTAATTATCCATAAAGTCATCACAATTTCTGTAAAATTAAAGTCAGTTTTTGAACAATATGCCTTTTACAGTAAAGGCTTTAAAAGCAAGTGGAACCTCACTAACATCACTAATGTCACATAACTTTGCCGACATGTAAAAGTAATGTTTTCATGTTCTTCAGTATTAGAACATTTGTGTCGCTGCATAAATGAGTACTTATTTAAAAAGTTTATTCTTCGACCGCTCCACTTGAGCTGTCCTTTATTTTTTTGAAAAGTGATCTGCTGATCACACCTCTGTACATAAAAACACACAGTCCATCTGTCTGTCTTCTGCAGACCTTCCGGTACCAGCGGCGGGTTCTCCCAATGCCAGTGGCATGTCGTCCTGTGAATTCAGCAGACTGGCGACCTCCTGTGGAGAGAGAGGAGAGCGTCATGCCTCTGTGGCTGCTGGTAGGAAGGCTGCTTGTGTTTCCTTTGTTCCTCTCTGCATTTTTCCTGCCCGTCTTCTCTTTATGGAAAATTAGTTCCAGAATAAACACTGATGACATGGTGTCAAACAGTTGACCGAGGAGACCCAGGTGACACTGGAGAGATGAAGCAGGTGCCCAGGGAAAGGGAGGTCTGGGAGTCTCCGCTTAGACTGCTGCCTCCATGGAATGGATTATAAGAGAAGAGGGAAATAGCAAACGTAGTTAACTAGTCAGTAATCAGCCTTGTGGTCCTCCCACTGTCTCCTCTGTGTTATCGTGCAGCTCAGCAACCAGTTCCCCATCAGCTGCAGGTTCTGGTTAGAGTGTTAGAGTGACTCGTCATCAGCCAAAGTCCATCGTGGAGGAGGAGTCCATCTGCAAATGAGACATGTCACAGGAGGGGTTAGCCACATCAGAACTGTCAAAGAGCAGTGGTATTGTTTGCATTTAAATAAAGGTGGGAAGTTCTCCTGTGTGTGAAACAGGAAATGTGAGCCAGTCCAATCAGTGAGGCAGAGATGTGATGGTTAGAAGTGACGTGCAGGATGGCGACCTCAGTGAAGAAGTGTGTATGTGTTGTGTGTCCAAGTATGAAAAGCAGCAAACACTCAGCTTTGACATCACATGAGGGAGAGTAGCTGAGTGGGGTCAGTCTTATTTTACAGTCACTTTGTTGTTATGTGCACCAAGTATGACGTCACCACTTCCCCAGTTGTAGCTTACTCTGCTGCTTGGGGTGTGCCACAATCACTGCGGTCTTCTTCTGAACCTGAGGTGTCAGCACTGAGAACAACCCTCCCTTTCAGTGCTGGTAAAGGAGTAGAAAAGGAACAGGAAACAAAGCGATCAGTTTTCCCCAGAAAGTTTTCCCGCTGTTGCAGTTTCTCCCTCTGTGTAATCTGAGAAGCACTAGTTCTGATAGGTATGATGTTCACCTAGAGGTCATAAAAACGAACGGTATTTTAGATTCTGAAGAAAGGATGTGATGAGGATTATCTGATGCTGCTGTCACAGGCCGTTTGTGATGGAAACAAAACCAACTGTGACCTTTGAACTTTTTGCAAACCAAACAGAGAAGTTCCACACTTTATTTCACACTAGATCCTCCTGCAAAAATGGAATATTTTCTTTGAACTACCAAAAAATCTGTTTTGTAATTGGAGCGTTTCTGTGACTTATTGCAGCAACTTTTCCTTTTCTAATGTGGAATCTTGACACACTTTGTTGAAACTGCATTTGTGTTTGTTGGGATGCCTCAGCGATTAAGAATGTGCTTAAACAGATTTTACAGTGAATCAGAAGAGAACACTGCTTTCATGTTTGTAATTTGTTTGAAGTCTGAGTATGTATGTATGTGCATATATAAAAACATCTCTTTTCTGTCTTCAGCGCTCTCTCCCCGTCATCCATCCAACCATTAGGCACTATAATAGCTCCGTCTCAAACATCCCAACCCCCTCCAGCTCCTACAGCGTCCCCCCTGGGACCCGATACCCACCCCGCCTCCCTCAGAACCTGGACTTCAGACGGATCGGCTTTGTTTTGCTGAATCAAAACCACAACCCCCCTCATCCCCCCGACTCTGCTCCCACTCCTCCTCGAGTCCTCCTTCACCGCCTGCTCCTGACCAGGACCGATTCCCCCACTGACATTTGCACTGCCACTGTGTCCATGGCAACCAGAGATCAAATTAGACGCTATAGTGAGAAACTTGCAGCCCTGAGGAGGGAGAGGGAACACAAATCCTTTACACCTCCTTCCTGCGATGACCCCACCTCCCATCAGGTGACAGGGGATGATGTCATCAGAACTGATGAAGAGGAGGAGGAAGAGGGCGACATCATCCTGGTTCTGTCTGAATCTTCACCCAGTGCTGCAGGAAGTGTTGCTGTCAGTGACGATGTGCAGGAGGTGGGGTCAGAGAGTAAAGAGGACGGAATCTTGACACCACCTAGAGGAGCAGAAGAAGACAGTGGTGATCCTGATGAAGATGGAGACAGAAAAACTCAGCAGGTGAAACCTTTAGTGGCCAAAGTCAGCTCTCAGTCAATCAACCAATTGATATCTGCAGATATCTGATTTCCTGTTTGGTTTCAGCCACTTTCAGAAGAAAGTGATGAAGATGATCAGAGAGAGTCAGAAGACGTGCTGTTCGCTCACGATTATCTCTACAGGGTGAGGCTTTAATTCTGAAATTGAATTGTATTTAGAAAGATTGTGTAACCGCAGTTGTTTGTATTTCCTGTTACCTGGTCAGGTTTATGAGGCGGTGCAGATGTATCCGGGCTTGTGGGAGGAACTGATGTGTGTGTTGGACGAGTTCTCAACTGCTGCAGTTGATGTCCTGTATGACAGAATAAGCAGCGTTCTGCGGCCGTGGCCTCAGCTGCTCAGAGACTTTGCCGCCTTCCTGAACCGCAGACAAGCTCGCCGCTGTGGCCTGGTGGGTGCCATCACTGTGACCTCGCAGAGGTGTGCTGTGACTTAGGTGCAACTCATCAGCTCTCTTCATCTCCGCAGCTTCTGGAGCAGCAGCTATTTGAACGCAGTCGAGTGTTTCTATGGAAACTGAGATGGAGCCTGGGAGAAAGCTCCTCACTCTACCAACAGGTGGTGTCAGTACTGCAAGGAAGCTCCGCCCCTTTACCTGAGGACATAAACAAGGTAAGGTAGATGACATTTGACCCCTCAGCTGATCTGACCTGAGGAAATCTGTCAATTAAATCTGTCTTCTACTGATGAAATAATTCAACACTGATTATTTTCCTCCGGAATGATGGGTTTATCAAGTTATTGATAAAAAATGGAACAGAGAGAGGCCGAAGTCTGATCCTCTCTTTGTTTTGTCAGCTCTCTTCTTTGCTCTGCCATCATCCTGACCTGCAGCAGGAACTCCGCCAGTTCTACCAAGAGTTCCACACCACAAACTCTGCTGCCCAGAGTTCCCCTGACAGGAACCAAGGCACCGACAGAGAGGAACAGGATGAGGGGGAGCGGCAAGCGGTTTGTGCCAAAAACATCACTTTGACAGCCACTGGGGAGAAAGTCGTCATGTGGACACGGTCAGAGAAATATCCAGAAGCACTCAGGAAAACACTAAAGAAACATTATAACGATGAAACATCATTTCAAGGTTCTGAAACTATTAGAGACAAAAAACTCCTGAAAAAGTGTTGGCAGGCATTATTCAGATGTTGTAGAAAATATCAGAAAGTCATCAATAAGTGTTGCACCAGCCACAATCACACACTCAAAATCTGTGTTGCATAAAACATTACACATCCTGCAAATGTTCACGTGCTCTGGAAACGTGTTCTAAAAACAATATTCATTAAATGCTCCATAAAAAATCCTTAAGGAATAAAAATGAGACGGAACATCTGTAAACCCAAACAATAAAACTTCTGAAGCATACATCTTCTAGTAGCAAAGACATTTGTATTGTATAAAACTGTAAATGTTGTAGAAATGTTTCATTTGAAATGTTCTACAAACATAAACGCTGATCTTGAAACATTATGAAAATAAAATGAATTTAAGCATCGAAGCTTTCAGAGCCAGATGTTTTAAGATGTTTCTAAAAGTAGCATAAGAAAAGAGGAAAAACTAACTCTGATTGTTCCTGTTCCAGCGAGGTGGACCGAGCTATCCTGACTGCCTGTCAGGAGAGGGGAGCCACCTGGAAAACGTTCAGACAGGTGTCTACCCACCTGGGAAACAAGACTGCCCAACAGGTGAGATGAGGCAACGCCTCAGCATGCAAGTGTAGAGCTCTGAGCTCTGTCTGTGTTTTTCTTCTAATTATTAAATCCGATGTTTTCTTCAGGTACGCCTTCGGTTCCTCGACCTGATGAAGCTTTTCCACTCTGCAAAGTCCACTTCCTGTTCCTTTGAGGCACAGCCAATGAGCAGGCAGGATGCTCCAGACTGAGTCCTGGACCAGTTAGAGACCTGCAGATAGACTACAGAGTCCAAAATGATGCGAATCCGCCGCTGTCCAACTTTGAGAATCCAGAGTTTATTTAGATGAAAGAATGGAGTCTTGCAGGAGGCGCTCTGCTCACCTCTGCCAGACTGTTTAGAGAACGTGTCTAGAATGTGTTGAGACGAGAGGATCAAAGAGTTCCATTCTAGATCAGAGATAGAATGATTCAGGATACATGTGAACCTCCTTGGCCGGCCTTTGGTTCTGGACTTTAGGTTTAGAGACTTAGCTGTGGATTTAAAATCTAGAACCAGCCTCAGGATAACACTCTCTTCCTACAATCTGGGTGATGGTGGATTCTTCAGACCTTTTTTCTCTGGAGCGGATTTGAGGCTGATCAAAGAGTTCATTTGCAGGACTGTAGCTTACTGTGAAAGAGTTCAGAGACACTTCCTGTTTATACTTCAACTCCGATTTGTTAACCAATCAGAGCAGAGCTTTATTTAAAAATTATTTATCATTAATTTATCTCCTCTAGAGAGGGAGGGGCCTCTGTGGTCACATAATACAAAGAAGGAAAGTAGAAACCAGCTCCAGTTGGCGTAAACTGGGTCATGTGACCTTGGTGATGGGCCTGTCTTCTGGTTTCCCATAATGCTCTGCGTTGAGGGCACCTCATCGCTCCCATGATTCCATGCTGTCATGTTGGTGAAGGAGACATTGTGTGAAGGTTTTGTACAAATGTTTATTCACATTGAATGAAAATAACTCATTAAAATTTTTTTACTCCTTAAAAGTGTTTGTAAACAAAGTGTTTGTTTGTGAAGGCTAAAGAAAGAAATCTTTAAGCTTTAGGGAGGAAAGAGAGTACTGATATAATGAATTGCCCCCTCTATTGGAGAAATGAAAAGAGCTCTGGGTAGAACCAGGATAGTGCTCCAGGGAAAGATGAGGTATGTTATATTATGTTGAAACATTTAAGTAATGTAGCGTTAAATAAATTGTTAATGTTATTTAATAAGATATGACAAGTAGGGCTCTTCCCATATAGATGCAAAAAGGCAATAATTATGCCAATAAAGAAACCTGGAAAAGGCCATAGTAATCCTGGGAAATATAGAACCATTGCTTTGATTTTCAATATGTGTAAATTGATGCAAAGGATGGTGAATGAGTGGTCGGTGCAATTTTTAGTCAAGAAATATAACAGCGCCTTATCAGAGTAGTTTTCATAGCAATGGATCCTCTTTTATGTCTGGAAGATGATATTAAGAAAGCTCAGAATAATAAAGAAATTGTAGTTGCTATGTTTTTGGATGTAGAAAAAGCATATGATATGCCTTGGAGAAAGGGTTTACTGATTAAATTACATCAGTTAGGAATAGGAGAAAATATGTTTAGTTGGTTAAGCGATTTTTTATGTGACAGAACTATTCAAGTTAAAATAGGATCACATGTGTCAGAGCCAAGAAAAATAGAAAATGGAACTCCTCAAGGAGGTGTAGCAAGCCCAACATTATTTTCAGTTATGATCAATGGTATTTTTAAAGATATGTCTGTAGATTATGGTAAATTACTTTTTGCTCATGATGGAGCATTATAGGTAAGGGTGGGAAATGTAGACCATCACATTAAGAAATTCCAGGAGGGGATAAGTAAAGTGGAAAAATGAGGTGTAGAATGGGATTTTTAAATTTTTAGTTGAGAAAACTAAAGTCATGTTTTTCACAAATAAAAAAAAAGGGAGAAAATAAACAGTTTTACTAGTATGGGAAGGGGCTAGAAAGGGTTGATTGGTTTCGTTTTTTGGGTCTAGTTTTTGATAAGAAATTAACTTGGAAAAATCACAGAGCACATTATGGGGAAAAGTAAAAAGGTACTTAATATTATAAGGGGTTTAGCAGGGTTGACATGGGGTGCAAATTTGATGCCACATTAATTCACTCAAGAATAGATTATAGGTGTATGGTATATTGGTCAGCGGCTAAAACTTGGATATTATCCAAGCTCAACCACTGAGACTTTAAGCAACACCAGTATGTGTCCTACAAGTAGAATCAGGTGAAGTGCAAATACATTAATGTAGATAGATCATTATCAGATAATAAGAAGACAAGGCCTCCCACTGAAAACGCTACGTCCAGATGAACATATATATATATATATATATATATATATATATATATATATATATATATATATATATATATATATGTATGTATATATATATGTATATGTATGTATATATATGTATGTATGTATGTATATATGTATATGTATGTATGTATATATATATGTATATGTATGTATGTATGTATATATATATATTTCATCTCACTGTAGTCCTGGTTATTATGTATATATTGTGCTATTCTTACTTAGTGTATTGTCTTTCTTTGTTACTGTTTGTTTATACTGGAGCACTTTAACCACTTTAACCACTTTAACCAAAAATAATTTCCCCTAGAGATCAATAAAGTATTCTGATTCTGATTAACCATTCTAACAAAATCCACAAAAATGTTTTTGCTATATGTATGTATGATATATTTTTGGGGTTTTTTTTATCTTTTATTTTTGTATTGCATTTGATATATTGGGCATTTTGGGCACGTTTTGTTAACAATAATGTTAATTCTAGACAAAAAATGAGTTTTTGAAATTATGGCAAGTATTTATCATGTTGATGAGATAGCGGTCTCAGAAACTCATGCATCAAAAATAGGATACAAAGGGTAAGGTGTTAAGGAAATAGAAGCGATGTAGCGGTATAAGCCAAGAGAAGGCAGTAGTACAACTATGTTGAATGCAAGCTGCCATTAAAACGAAAGAAGAAGACGACACCGGAAACTACCGAATCTGCAGTAACCAGACCTTCATGTGTTGCCAGGTTTTTCTTCTGGATTAAAATGGCGTGGATTGGTGTCTGTAAAGGCTCTCGTTTTACACATATATAATTTCCCAATAAAGATGTTTGATTTTAGTTATTACACATTTTGAATACTATTTGTTACGGTGAAGCGTTTTAATTTGAAGGAGGTCACCGGAACACCGCCTCATTGTAAGAAGTCTCCAGTAACGATCACCGGTTTCATCCTTCGTTCTCTCAGCTCTTCAGCTCTTCTTCTACTTCCGTCATGGCGCCCACTTTGGGCTTTTTTCCTGTCGTCACGTTGGTGGTGCTGTCCGGTTTTCCCGCCGCTGTGTCCTCGCGAAGGGACGTGCTCGAGCTCGGGGACGCGGACTTCGATTACCTGGCAACAGAGCACGAGACCATGCTGGTGAAATTCTACGCTCCTTGGTAAAGAAGCGGCGTTAGTTTAGCGCGGCCGGCGGCGGGAGATTTTTCCTGAGTTTTTGTTTTTAAATGAAATCATCTTTATTGGTTTTCTGCTGTTTTTAAATCGTGTCTCTACTGTTAAGGAGGCACTAACAACCTGCTTGTCCTCTTCCATCTCTCGTTCCATTCCTCCACCCCTTTCCTTCGTCATTTCCCTTGATTTAATTATTTTGTATTTATTATACTGTGGCTCTTATTTCCTTCATTCCTTCCCTCCCCTCCCGTCTTTTCCGCATTCCTTCCTTGCGTTCCAACTTCCTTCCTTCCCTGTTTCTTTAAACCCCTTCTTTGTTTATTTCTCCTTCCTTTCCTTAATCCCTTTATTTTTTCTCCTTCCTTCAGGTGTGGTCATTGTAAGAAATTGGCCCCAGAGTTTGAGAAAGCAGCTAGTCGACTGAAAGGAAGTGTTCAATTAGCAAAGGTAATGTGTCCATCGTGTTCATTACTGTTGTGAACACCTGTTTTACAACAGTCTTATCTGTTTGTCTCACCTGTGCGGCAGGTGGACTGTACGACAAACTCTGAGACATGCAGTCGTTTTGGGGTCTCAGGTTATCCCACCTTGAGAATTTTTAGGTATGGCAAAGATTCCGCCCCCTATGATGGTCCTCGCACTGCAGGTCGGAAACACTATGAGTCATCCCAATCCTGCTCTGTTACTTGAGTCTGTGATGTAACCTCTGTCTGTGTGTGTGTTTGTGTTCAGAGGGGATCTACGAGACCATGAGGAGGCAGACTGGTCCAGACTCGATGCACCTGAAGACCAAAGACGATCTGAAGGCCTTTGTCAATAACCATGACGCCAGCATTGTAGGTATGAGGTCACGTGTTGCCAGTGGCGGTCCTAACCTGTTTGGCGCCCTGGGCGAACAAACTTGACAAGCTTGTGTGTGAGACTTTAAATCATCAAACTGTAAATTTTGCTCCAGCCAGTCAGAAAATCCCCCGCCGCCCTGCCCTCTCCTCTCTGCGCCGCAAGCAGCAGGCGCACATCGCAAACGAAGGGCGCCCTTACTCCCAGCAAATGGGCGATAGAAAACCGATCGGTGCTTATGCCATTCCCAATATGCGCTGGCTGACGTCGGGGCAGCACGAGTACGAACATTTTTTTTTAAAATTTATTTTATTTTTTTTGCCGATGCCCGTGATGCCACCCCCCACCACGATGTCGCCCGTATCTAAAACCGCTACTTCGTGTTGCTGTATGCTGCATCATGCTTTAGGCTGAGTGCTTCTTATTTGTCAAAGTCAAGTTATACAGACATTAAAGAATAAAATCAGTATAAACAAAACAGCAGAAGACGAAACAAACGATAAGGAAATGTAGCTGTTGCTTGGTCACTGGTGAAAGTTCCAGGCTCTTGTTGCCTAGGTAACCCTCAGTTCAGCTTAATTCAGTTTTATTTATATATTGCTAAATCACAACAACAGTTGCTTCACGGTATTCAAGTTGCTTTATATTGTAAAGACCCTACAATAATACAAAGAAAACCGAAAACCCCAACAATCTGATGACCCCTATGAGCAAGCGCTTTAGCGACAGTAGGAAGGACAACCCCCCCTAATCTTAAGTATTTATTTACCTTAAACAGTTCAAACAAAACATGTACTCCTTCAATCAGAAAACCATAGTCTGCAAGCAGCTAGCTGAAGCCAATTTACAGAAAAAGAATAAGCCTAACTTAGCATTACACAGGATTATATATTGAGTTGTGCTTCTATCTGTTTGGTTAAAACTGTTGGGGAGAGGCCGTGGTTTAGACTTGGCATTCCCTCGCTGGTGGACAGGATGATCACAACCTCTTGGCTCCTCTTCCCCTCCGGAGGCCATAGCACTCGTCTTTCCACTGTACAGATGAGGTCACATCTAGGTTAGCAACCTGCCTCTCCTATTTTTATATAATGACTTTTACCCTGGTTACGTGTCTCTGTGCTGGCTTACGCTCTGGTCTGCACAGACGACTTCTAAATGTACTCGGGCATAGTGCAGCCAAATATATTTATGCTAGCCTTTACACTCCTAACCTAGACAGAATCATAAGATGCATGATCCTCAGTTAGATTTCACACATAGATCTCTATATGTACCTGCAGAATTAAACTGAGAGCAATGGTAACAATGGCCTGCACGCCCACTCCGGGCTTCATCACTGCTCACCAAGCTGCAGGCAAAATCTGAAAGATGTGCATAAAACAAAATGTATAAAAATGCTCGACCTCACATACCAGGACATATCCTGGTTAAAGACTCCACGATTCCTCACAGTGTTACTGGAGGCCAAGGTAATGCTATCCAGAGTAAGCATCTGGTTAGATGCAGTGTTTCTAAGAATTTTGGGGCCAAGTACAATTACCTCAGTTTTATCTTTATGTCTCTTTAGGTCTTTATGTCTTTAAAACATTCCTGCAGTTCAAATAGTTGTTGTGTGTTATCTGGCTTGATGGATAGGTAAAGTTGGGTGTCATCTGCTATGCCTTTTAAGGGAAGCAGGTATAATGCAAACAGATTTGGTCCTTCCACAGAACCCTGTGGTACTCCATAATTAACCTTAGTGTATGAATTTTTTGTATTTTTCTTTTTTTTGTATTTGTAACCTTCACTAAAGCCATGTCTGTATTGTGATGAGCTCTGAAACCTAATTGAAACTCTTCAAATAAACCATTTTTGTTGAATTTGTTCACACTGTTGCAGTCTGGATACCTGTACACCTTTGAGGTTTTATTGCTTGCATGGCATGATCACCTTATAGTAACCTTAAAGTAAACTTGGCCATGCTAACTTCAGGGTCAGACAAACACATGGTGTCTGTGGTCCTCTGACTCCCCTTTAGCTCCCTTACCAGTGCATGTGTCTGCATCAGGTGTGTTCTCAGGTTCGGACAGCCCCCGTCTGGCTGAGTTCCTGAAGGCAGCCACTCTACTCCGAGAACAGTTCCGTTTTGCTCACAGCACCAACCTGCAGCTCGCCGAAGAGCATGGGGCCAACTCAGAGTGAGTTCACACCTAAGTGATGTCACATTTTAAAGGTGTTATTCTCACTTCTGTGCGTGTGTGTGTCTCTCTCCAGATGTGTGCTGCTGTTCAGACCTCCCAGACTCGCCAATGCTTTTGAGGACAGCATTGTCATCTTCAGAGACTACCTGACCATCGGCTCACTGCGGCGCTTCATCAGAGATCACATGTGAGTCTTTAAGAGATAAGAGATAACTCTTTATTGTCACAGTCATATATAGTACAATGAAATTGGAAAACTGTCCTACGTCATTAGAGGAACCACAGCCTCATTCTATCTGTGTGTCCACCTATGTGCAGCTACGGTCTGTGTCCTCACATGACAATAGAGAATAGAGACCGTCTGAGAGTCCGGGACCTGCTGACGGCGTACTACGATCTTGACTACCATCACAACATCCCCGGCTCCAACTACTGGAGGAACAGGTAACGCAAGCACACAGAGGGGATGTGTTCCAGATGTACAGCTTGATTGACTAAAGTGTTTGTGTGTAATCCTCTCCCCTGTGTGTTTTCTTCTCAGGGTAATGAAGGTGGCGTCTAAGTATGTTGGGCGGGGTCTAACCTTCTCTATAGCCAATAAGAAAGACTTCCTGTTGGAGCTGGAGGAAGACTTTGGAATGGGGACGTCAGATGGAGGGGAGCTGCCCTTTATCACCATCCGGACCCGACTGGGTCACAAGTACACCATGAGGGAGGAGTTCACGTGCGTAGCCAAGTCATACCACTATGTCACCTGTTCTGCAGGTGAGGGGGTGGGGTCACAATAAACCAGAACTATCTGATCCAAGTCTGTTTCAAACTTTTGGGGGGGCTGACCCGCATTTCTCAGCTTTCTGACCTCATTCACAATGAAAGCACCAACAAGTAACTGTGTGTGTGTGTTTGTTTGTTTTAGGAGGGATGGTGCGTCTCTGCAGAGGTTCCTGGAAGATTACTTTGCAGGTCGACTCAAACGTTACATCAAATCAGAACCGATACCTGAAAAGAACTCTGGGGCTGTCAAAGTGAGTAAAACAAACACGCCAAAGCTGCTTGTGAGTATCAATGACGTTGTAGACCTCTTTGTAACCTCTGACCTGTGTGCCTCAGGTGGTGGTAGCAGAGTCCTTTGATCAGGTGGTGAATGACCCGGATAAAGATGTTCTGATCCAGTTTTTTTCTCCGTTGTGTCCTCACTGTAAGAAGTTGGAGCCGGTCTATGGAGAGCTCGCTGAAATGGTACGCTCACTCATATACTGAGAATATAATGTCCACTCTCGCACTCTGTCGCTTTAGCAGTAACTGGGTGTTCGCTGTTTGGCTAGCTTCACTCAAACAGGAAAATCCAACTGTAGCCGTAATGTGCGTATTTGTAAAGCACTTTATAAATAAGCACTGTGTGGTGAAGACCCTGTTTTAGTCACCAGACCAACAAGCTTGAGTCCACACTCTAGCTTCTCTGCACCAGGTGTACCATCCTGTGCAATCAGCTGGCAAAGCAGATGTTTGCAAGGTGTGATCAATGCTATTTTACAAAATAAAATATTCTCTCTTTCGCCAAACACAACCAAACAGATTACTACAACACAGGTTACTTACTGCATGCGTATCACACCAAAAACACAACTGCTTCCTATCAAAGATGATTGCAAATCCCATCATCCATCAGCATTTCTGCAGGAAAAGAAATCTAATCTCCACGTTACAGTCTCCTTCACTCACATTTGGGCTCCTTCCTCACTTCTAATATGAAGTAATTCAGTCAGTGAGATGATGTAAGGATGAAAGAAAAGATCTCCAAAAAGTATGACATCTCTTTCTCAGAGCGTCTGCTTTTCTTTTTTTTTTTTGCTTTGTACACTTGAACCTACTTGCCCTGCAGACTTGCCGATGGCATTCCCGATTGTGCTTCAGTAAGAAACTGCATTCTGTTTGTGGTGTGGTGTGCGTTAGGGCTGCCACGATTAGTCGAATACTCATGATTACGTTGACTATCAAAATTGTCGACAACTAATTTAATAGTCGACGCGTCGTTTGAAGCTTTGTAAGATCCCAAAAGACGCAGGAATAAGTAGTAGGATTTAAGAGTCTAATAACAGACTGAAACAGAAGATGGCAGCACTGCATGTACAAGGATGCCAGCTGCCGTTAAACCCCAAAGAAGAAGAAGAAGCTGTGTCCGGTATCGTAGCTGTGTCCAAATTCAGGAACCGCATCCTCCTGTGCCCGCTTTTGTAGGCCGATTACGTTACAGCGACACGACGAAGACTGTCCACATTCGAAGACTCCGACAAATTCGGCCGACAAATGCGCCCTTCATTTCCCCAGATTTGAAGGATGGGTCGGGTGTACACTTCGTGCCCCAACCTATCCCAGAATTCATAGCGTGGCCCTGCTCAGTTTCCAACAATGGCGGCAGCTAGTTAGTCTTAATATTACTCTTATTATTCTTTCTGGGTCACAAAATAAACGTTTAACATATTTTATGAGTCCCGGCAAATCGTTTTCAAACCCGCCGCCGTCTTTCGCTACTCAGGTTAAACATATATAAGTCACTTAGATAACTTAAAATTGTTATTGTTTGGCTTTATTCAGTATTTTATTTGTTCCTGAGTAAATCGGTTTGGCTGAGATTAAAGTTATAGTTTTTACACAGCAGAATAAACGTCAAGCAGACAACTGATTATCAGAAGTGTGAGATGCTCGAGAATATACTCCGGTGTCCTGTTTTATTTTAGATAGCAAGGAGCAGACGGCTGAGTTTATTAAATTTAAATGAAATTTGCAGATTGTTTCAGTGGATTTTTACAAACCATCATCTTGTCTTTATTTTTAGTTAGCACATACCTTAAACACTTAAAGCTGTAAGCTAATGATAGTTATATAAGAGCAGATGCTGCTGGCGCAATAAGCTGTACGTTTTATGTCCAGTGGATACATAATCTGATTAGTCGACTAATCGCAAAAATAATCGGTGACTAGTAAAATAATCGTTTGTGGCAGCCCTAGTGTGCATGTACTGGGCTGTTATGTTCTATCTCAATTTGCTTGGGAAGAGAAAGATTATTTTATTGGGTTACATAACTAGCTGATGATAAAATGCTAACTAATTGAAAAAGAAGTGTATATATTCAATTTGATTGTATCAAAATAATATCATATAATACATTATGTCAAATAGAGAAATTACAAAAATCTTTTTTTGATGAAGTGTAAATTAAGAACGTCTGCTCTGGCTCAAACTCCCATCCTCAGCCCTGCAGTAATGATCTTTTATTTGACTACAGTCCCCTAGAGATTTATTTGTCAGTCACATTTTATCTCTGGCTCATGTTACAGCAGCTTTCATGTCAAAATGTGTGCAAACAATGATGTTGCTAGGCAACCCACCATGCTACACTTGTGGTTTTACATTAATTTCTATGAGTTAAAATACCCTTCTTGGTGGTTCTAGGTAAAAGTGGTCATATTAAATATCAATATTTGATGAAATACCAGTCGGAAAAAGTCATGAAATCTGAGATGTCTGTGAAGGTTCTTAGTCATCCAAGTCATCGTAGTCTAAGGAGGTTGGAAAGAAAAGCGGCTTGAAGACGTTTCGCCTCTCATCCAAGAAGCTTCTTCAGTTTTAGGGTAAAATGGTGGAGAGTCCCAGATTTTTCTTTCCAAGCTCCTTAGAAATCTGAGATGATGGTGTTTTAGATTAATCAGAATACTTGAATAATCCCTGAGGAAATTATGTAAATTATTTAACAGAGTTACAGTTCACATTTAAAATGAACCCCTTGGCGGTTCTACTATTAACTATACATTTAATCTTCAGTATAAGAAAAGTGCAGTTTCTCTACACAATAAGGAAATGGTGCTAGAATAAGAATGGGCTGGGTCTTAAACAGGTAGTATATTTGTGTGACATGGCCTTCCTGCTCTCAACACCAGCTGAGCACCACAGATAAGCAGTTGCACAACAAACCACACAAAGCTGCCAGCTCATGCTTCTGTAGCATTGTGTGTGGTATTATGAACTACTCTCACACTGCAGCTGCATTTAGGCTCTGCCCCTCTGCCCCTTCCTGACTGTGTAAAACATCTGCAAAAGGTCACATGACATTTTAGAAACTCTGAAACATCTTCCGTCTTCCTCAAATGGGGACTTGTCTCAGACCTGGTGCTGGTTCCTGTTTGCCTATGAGGTCTTGTGTGCTGTAGCTCCACCCACTAAAATGACTTGTTGTACTGAAGGAGATGTTACTGGTTTATTTCTGTGTGAAATCATTGTCAAACCTTTGTGTTCTTCAGCTGCGCTCTGACCCCAAAATCGTCATTGCCAAGATGAACGCCCTGACCAATGACGTCCCTCTGGGTTACGACGTCCAAGGGTGAGATTCAGGTTTCCCGTGACATGCTTCAGTCATTGCCAGGTGTGAGTCTGATGTCGCTGTGTCTGCCTGCAGGTTTCCCACCATCTACTTTGCTCCAGTAGGCAGGAAGGACGAACCCGTCAGATACCAGGTAAGACACCTGAGTGCATACCCAAGACTTGAGGCTAGATGGACCTCAGCTACAGTTTTAGATGAAGTTGCTTCCTCTCAGTTTATCTAAGGTCAATGTTATCTGCAGCAGCCCACTCCCCTGTGCTGTAGTTTTCCCTCACAGCTGTTTGAGCTGCCTTGTCACGGGGTTTTATGGGTAGTTAATTATGCTCTGTGCTCACCTATGTGCACCAGCTCAGGTCCACACCTGTGGAGCAGTCTGCAGCTTCTCTCAGCATATGTCAATGGGATTTAAAAATTACATTTTCTCATTTACATACATCCTGTTTGTCAACACAGAGTCTGCCCATTCATACTTCACATTTAAATAATTTTCTAACCCCCTGGGTCAGTGTGAGCACTGCAAAGTACAGACACTCATTTTTCTCCACAGCCACTCATGGTCAGCTTAGAAGAAACACAGGACATAATTTGGTCCATTAAACTGCACCTGCTTCCACTTGTACAGGCTCTTGACTGATATGGTACAGGTACAACCACATCTGTGCGCAGATCAGAAGAGGCGTTTTCTCAAAGTGCTGAAGTGAGTCATTCAACGATTCAGTGCAGAGAGGTCTATTAACACATAGTGAGTGAGAAAGGTGAAGAAGACTCAGTGCATCATGGGAATCCCCCAGCAGCCTACACTTATTGCAGCATAACTAAGGGAGGATTCAGGGTCACCTGATCCAGCCTAATGATATGCTTTAGCAAAAAGGAAAGTTTTAAGCCTAATCTTAAAAATTAAGCAGCCAATAACACCAGTGTGCTTTTTACTGCTCTCATTTATCATCCACAGGGCATACGAACACAGTACCCTCAAGGTCTGCCGACTGCTGCTAAAGTCCTGATTTTATACTAATTAATTAAATCCATCCATCCATTCGCTTATCCTTTTCAGGGTCGCGGGGGGCGCTGGAGCCTATCCCAGCTGTCATAGGGCGAGAGGCGGGGTACACCCTGGACAGGTCGCCAGTTTGTCGCAGGGCCAACACACAGGGACAGACAACCATTCGCACTCACATTCACACCTAGTGGCAATTTGGATTATCCAATTAATCTATCCCCACAAGCTGCATGTCTTTGGAGGGTGGGAGGAAGCCGGAGTACCCGGAGGGAACCCACGCAAACACAGGGAGAACATGCAAACTCCACACAGAAAGACCCCGGCCTGATGGTGGAATTGAACTCAGGACCATCTTGCTGTGCAGCAACAGTGCTAGCCACCATGCCACCTTAATTAATTAAATCCTCATCTTATTCCTCAGCTGGTCTATATAAATAAAAGTGTGTATTTATAATAATAACTAAGCCTGTAAAGGGCTGGATGTTAAAAATCCTTCCTGGTGACAAATATTTGCTTTGATTACACTGTAACTTCAGGCTGTGGTCTTTCCTGGAAAACCCAACGTGTTTATACTGTTTGACTCAACATTTATTGTTCAGAAACAGCACTACAGCTGTTTCTGAACAATAGGCTCATACACCACCAAAGAAGAGCCTACAGGGATTATAAATGAAGAATTTTACTTTGAAAGTCTGTTGTCATTTACGTACACACAGCCACATTTCCTGCTCGGACCAGTCTGTTTTTTAATACACCCTCATTCATCCAGAGCTGCAAGTGGAGGAAGTGGAGCTAAAGTTCAGTGTTTAATAGTTGGTAGTTTGCTGAAGCTCACACAGACACTGTGGACACTGCAGTTTGTGAAGGCAAGGCTTCACAGCAGGGGTGGGCAATTCCAGGCCTCGAGGGCCGGTGTCCTGCAGGTTTTAGATCTCACCTTGGGTCAACACACCTGAATCACATGATTAGTTTGTTACCAGGCCTCTGGAGAACTTCAGGACATGTTGAGGAGCTAATTTAGCCATTTAAATCAGCTGTGTTGGTTCAAGGACACATCTAAAACCGGCAGGGACACCGGCCCTCGGGGCCTGGAATTGCCCACCCCTGCTTCACAGTAAGGGTGGGGCTTGAGCCACTGACAGGTTTTACAAGATAAAGTCTTTATGTTAACGTCCTTCTGGGGTCACATGACATCTCCCATGTGCTTTCAGGGCACCCGCGAGCTCAAAGACTTCCTCCGGTTCCTCAAGCGAGAGGCAAGTCACAGCTTGGTGTTGAGTGGCTTCAAAGATGAACTCTGACACCCCCAACAGCGAGGAGGAGAGCCTGAATCTGGAGAGCCTGAATCTGGAGTGCCAATATCGGACATTACATCAGGACACTCGTTGCATCAAATCAAATCGCTCACTCATCCCTGAAACACACCGCTATTAATCATGCCATTGTCAGCCTCGTTATTTATTTATTTATTTATTTATTTACTTACTTATGTGTTTGTTTGTTTGTTTAACTTCAGTCGACCTCCTTTCGTGCACAAACAGGTTGCAGATGTTTTTCTTCTGTTTTTTGGGACAATAAAGTTTTGTATGAATTTCAGAGACTTGGACAGGTTTGTGCTCGTTCAGGCCCACAGCTGCTTTAAACCAGTACAGCTTATCGACCTGTCGTCCCAATATGCTTTAGGCACATGTGATGTCAGTGGACACAGGTAAACACACTCATGGGAATATCCACGTGTGTTTTCAGAATGCAAATCAGTCAAAATTGATTCTCAGCTTGGTGTACAAATAAGTCACAAGAAATGCAGAAAGTGCTACATGAGCACAAGTCCTGAGTCTCCTCAATGAAGGAGACATTCACAATCAGCCTGTTAGATATAAGCATAATTAAAATCACATATGACTGCTCACATTATTTGCCACATTTAAATGACGGTAATCCCACTTTTTATTGTATTTATGGCTGGTTGGTTCTTGGAACCAACTCTCTGATGCATTCATGAGTCTAAATGTTACATAGAGTAGAAAAGCACTGTAGTCCATTTTCCTTTGGTTTCTGCTTTGAGAAGTACTTAATAAAAATGTTTTGGGAACCCTGGTCAAAAACACCCCCTCCTCCCATGCAGCTTCAATAAATAAAACTATTTATTCACCTCATGCTTGCCATGGATCCTAAACTAAGGTATCACACAATATCAAAGGTGGTGGGGCATTCTGTCAGTCATTTTAAAGAAGAAAGGCTTCATTGTTTCATGAATCACCTGATCCAGTCTAGGAATTACCAGAACACTGGAGATGTTACTGCATTAACCTGAGACAGCTGGGTCGGTTCCTGGTCATGAAACCCATGAAAGGGAGACGTGATGCTGCTACAACCCTGCTGGGAGTGAGGAAGACTTCTGATGTGACTGCCCACTGCTCAGAAAACGAGCTGAAAAAAAGTGTAACCTTTGCTCCTTAACAGACAGGAAGGGAGAAAGTGGTAGCGCCTGATGTTTTTGGTTGTTTCCGGTCCTGTAGAAAGATTGGTTTGCATTACCAGGACTAAGGCTGATTTAATAATAATACATTTTATTTATAAAGATCCTCAAAATTACATTAGTACAACAAAATAAATGATAAAAATAAGAAGACCAAGTGATATTATTTCTATGTGCCGTGAAGGAAAGAGTGCTGTCAATGATGACACCAACACTGTTAACCTGAGGGGAAGGTATGACAATAGAGTTATCAATGGATAATGAAAGATTTATGGTCCCAACTTTAGTCAGTATAGATTTGGTGCATATTTGAATGAATTCTGTTTTATTACCATTAAGTTTAAGAAAGTTCTGAAACCTTGATTTCACTTTAACGATAAGAAATAGATGTGGGTATGAGAGTATAGGTTTGGAAGTAGATTTGGGTGTCATCTGCGTAGCAGTGAAGTTGAATGTTACATTTCTTGAAAATATTACCTAGAGGTAGGAGATAATAAAAAGCAAAGATCCCAGGACAGAGCCTTGGGGTACACAGGACTTAACTGGAGTAGATGGTGATCTGTGAATAAGTAATTGAAAAAAACTGTGTACGGCCAGAGAGATATGAGGTAAACCAGGCGAGTGCTATATTTTTGATGCCAATAGATGTTAATCTATGAAGAAGGATGCCATGGGAGATTGTATCAAAAGTTGCCATAAGGTCAAGGAGAATGAGGATAGTGATCAGTCCAGAATCCGCTGCAAACAAAAGATCATTTGTGATTTTTCCTAGAGCTGTTTCTGTACTATGGAATGAACAGAAGCCAGATTGAAATGGTTCAATTTTTTCAGTTTTATGTATACAGCACCAAATCACAACAACAGTCAATTTTAAGGTAGACCCTACAATAATACATACAGGAAAAACAACAATTAAATGACCCCCTATGAGCAAGTACTTTGGCAACAGTGGGAACACGTGAACACTGTTCCCACTGTTGCCCATTTTGGCCCATTTCTCATGGGGCACTGCTAGCTTGAGTGACACACATGTCTAAGATGGACTTTATACAGTTTATTCCTCTGCACGACAGACTGCTCTATTCAGGTTACAGGGCACGCCTCTGAGCGCATCTGTCATTAATGCTACTGTGCATAAAGCTCCGACAATGGTACAGACCAGCGGTTCATTACACTCCCACCAATCATGCTATGATTTACAAACTAGCTAAATCATACATGATTCTGAACAACAACAAAAATGAAACCACTTCAGCCAATATAAAGGTGTACAGACCATGATAGAGCAGTTGCCACTTGGAATGTTACATTGTTTATGTCAATATGTCAGTTCATCTCAGACAATAACATGTTTGTTATTATTCTCTTTCAACAAGAACCACCAATTTTTGGATAGGCTGCTCGATAATGGTCCTGTTTTTTGGTCCGACTTTGGTCTCCTACTTGAACCTTGACCCGACGAACTAAACCATCATCCCCTTCAATAGTTTCAACTATACGTCCCAGTTGCCACTGACACCTTGGTAACATACCTTCTTTGATGATAACAATATCATTCACTTTTAGATTGCGGCGGGTTTTGTGCCACTTCTGTCTTTTGGAGGCATTCATGGGGTATTCTCTTTTCCACCTACCCCAGAACTGCTCAGTTAAGTATTCTACTCTATGCCACCTCTTCACTGCATACATGTCTTCTTTCACAAATTTCCCAGGTGGTGGTAGGGCAACCTTGGACTTCATCAGTATAAGCTGGTTTGGAGTAAGAGGTTCAGGTGCTTTTGGGTCGCTGATACTGTCCACAGTCAATGGGTGGCTATTTACAATAGCCATGGCTTCATAAAACAAAGTTCTAAGAGAGGCATCGTCTAGTCTTCCTGCACACTGAGCAGTAGTGGCATTTAGCACATTACGAATGGTCCTAATTTGGCGTTCCCAGATGCCACCTGCATGACTTGCAGAAGGAGCACTGAAAACAAACTCACACTGTTTGTCTGCCAGGAAAGCTTCCAGTGCCTGCATGTCACACTGCTTGAGAACCTCTCTGAACTTATTTCTGGCAAACAGTTCCTCTTAGGCTGATGAAGCATCTAAGGGCATTGATGAATGCATCTGTTGGTCTTCTAGCATCTCGATATGGACAGCACGTGAAGACAGGCCCATACCTTTTGTATTCCTTGCGGCCCCGCTTGATGGAAAGTGGACCAAAGCAATCCATACCAGAGTACGAGAAAGGAGCAGAGGCTTCAATCCTTTCCTTCGGGAGCTCTGCCATGCGTTGCTCCTCGGTGGGGCGCCAAAGTTTTCGACATTGTACACATTTATGTATTAACTTGGCAACTGCTTTGCTTCTCGCAATCACCCAAAATCCATTTGCTCTGAGTTCTGCTAGAGTTTGACTGTGACCTTGATGACAGATGGTGGCATGATAATGAGACACTATTAGTCTTGTAATGTGACTTTCCTTTGAAAGGATAACTTGTTGTTTTAGTTCTTGACTAAGCGTTTCCTTTGTCAGTCTTCCACCGACACGAAGTAGTCCTTTGTCAAGAGATGTATTCTAAAGACACTTCTTCAGCTGAGAGTCAGAGAGTAGAAATACACACGCTGCAGTTTTTACTTGCAAGGGCAGTCACAGAGCACTCGCACCCGAGAGTGTGGCTCAAGGACTCGCGCTCTGCCACTGCTCTGGTCTTTATTTATATACAAAGGTAATACAATAGTAAATACGTCTGTTCGTAGACAGAGGAATGTTGATGTGTATGTGTGTGTGTGTGAGAGAGATTCTGAAGGAAGTGGCCCCTCTTTTTATTAGGGAGTGAAGATAAGAGTGTTCAGCTCTCCTCTTCCTGGTAGGGAGTGAAACTGCTTGTTCAGCTCTTATTATCGCTGTGGGAAGAAACTTATAAAAGAGAACAGAATAAGTCTTGTAGTGAACAACAGTCTAAGTCATCAAAAGGTCATCATGCAGTATTCTATCATATACAAACTTATTTCATTAAAAAGTTTATACTGACTTCTAAGTACAATTTTCTATTGACATCCTTGATCTAAGATGGGATCAAGGCAGCTTAGGGGGCTTGAGCTTGGAAGGGAGTTGCCCTTCTGAAGTGTCTTTATGTCTTGCAAAAGGGCTTGTCGCTGAACCAGACTGATTACTAGCTCACGAGCCTTTCTCCTTTCCTCCACCGTCACAATGCTGCTGACGCGATCTGACTTCATACCTAGTCTCTTGTAACTACTCTAATGAGCGTTGTCCAGCTGGAAAAGCGGCTTAGACGGTTCAGGATGTCATTTTGTTCATTGACATGGGTGGCAATGGATTTCACTGATTTAACTTCAGGGTCACAGACAAGCAGATCTGGTGAAAAATGTGGTGTTGGGACTATCTCAGGTTTCCATAGAAATTTAGGACCCGATAACCAGTTTGTTGACAGAATGTCCCCTGCACAAAGACCTCTCGAAGCGTGGTCAACTGGGTTTTCTGCAGTATCCACATAGTGCAACTGAGCAGGGTCTATGGTTTCTCGGATTAGCTGAACACGATTTGCGACAAACACATGGCATCACTGTGCCTCTTTGCTGATGTAGGCCAATACAACTTGGGAATCATTCCAGTAGAATTCCTCGTCAATCTGCATGTCAAGCTCTGTTTTTAACATGACACTTAGCCTTGCGGAGATTACTGCAGCCGAAAGCTCCAGCCTTGGGATGCTCATGAGCTTTGTTGGTGCAACTCTTGCTTT